TTATGATTGTGTCGTGGCGTCATGCAATGCAAGACCGAGAAATGTAAATTATTGTTGTGACACGCACTCGATGTGTGGTGCCATTTACGATTTTGCCCCATTCTGTTAGTTGTCGGATAATTTTTGTCCCAATTTTTAAAATACATTAGATTTCACAACTTACGTGCAAGAAGGCGCTACCGCGTCAATCAGGCGTCTAGCGCTTAAACGATACGTAAAAGGTCAAGTGATCCGAGTATATGGTCTTCACTTTTCTCATTCAAGGTTAAGAGTTGTTAGATTGTTATAATTATCAAACTAGCAATTGCATATGTTAGATGGTTAGTTTAGTACATGACTGGAGGAATATAGGAGAGGAATAATTGAGCACCCAAAAAATCACTCGGTCGTGTTAGGTGCCCAACTCGACGCTTAGTCGACCGGTTTGCTTGTGAGTCGACTAAAAGTCGCCTAGGGCTAAAATCACCTCAGCCTAGGGGCGCCTAGCGCCTAGTTAGCCCCTAGGTGACAGCCGCCAATTTTTACAACACTGATCTTAGGTCTCCAGAATTTCTGTTCAAGAGTCGTTGGATAAAATAAATCACAAATCAACCTCTCAGTCCTCAAGTTCCCACCCTTTGTCTATACGCACCCCCATACTACCACTAGAGCAAGGCTTTACAATGATCAGTCTTACAATATGACCTAGGTAAATTTACAAAGAGAAACTTGCACTCACTATTCGAGGATATACACTAGATAAATTCTGCTTTATAACCTTAGTCAGCAAATGACAATTATCTATAACTGACCAACTCAAACCAGTCTTATGACCATAACCAACAATAGGCCACAATGTTATCTATAAATGATTGACTTAAATTAAGACCGCCAATTGATCACTCCCATTGTGGGGTAACTTAAAACATTACCAAACCAACTTACCAACTTGATTAAAATTGCCAAAAACATTATCTAAACTACAGAGCATGTTAATTTTTTTTACTTCAAATTAGGAGTCAAAATGGAAAAAGCCAGTGTGACTTCATCTTATTAGCTCAATGAATATTTAGTGGCTTTATGACTTCGCATTCAAATTTGTTTACACAAATATAAGCACAACAATGTTGGTAGGAAAGTATTGGCGTTAGATTGACATTAACATGTATAATAACACGGAAACGGAAAGTAATAATTGTATCCGCGAGTCATAAACTACACCAAGAAACACGATATCCTACAACTCCAGCTACAACCCCAAGGTCTAAATTTGCATGTACAAATTGGATCGATCAAGAATGCACCAACAAAATGCCTGTAATATGGTCACCCGTTAAAGATGCAGATCATTTGAGAGGTTAAGCTCAACTTCCCTTTCAACAGGAGTCATCAGTCGCATCTTTTTTGCAGCATGCTGCACCACCACATCGCTATTAATGGCATCCAAATTTCTCGAAACAATATTAGTGTTGTCATGAAATTCAATTTGAGACAACTCGGTTAAGTTCTGGGAAGCGGAGAGTGAATCTACAATGCCACTTTGACTATGGGGTTCAACACCATTCTGTGGCTCTGCTGCTACGTCAAACATCATGTTTGATGTAGCAGCAGGGAGAGATTCAGTAAAGCACTCTGTGTTTTCTTCTACAGTAGAAGCTAGCTGATCCACACAATCTAAACTCTCCTCTCCAACTGCCATGCATTTTCCATCAACCCCGACTTCCAAGTCATTCTGATCATGACAAATTGTGGCTGGTGAGGAGCCAATGTGCTCATCAGCAGCATGGTGAACTGGCACTTGTGGCTTCCAAGACGCTTCAGATGCAACATCCCTAGAAGAGTAAGGGAAAACAAAAGCTTCAGACGCAACAGCTCCAAGATCCCCAAATCCAGTCGTGTGAGAGGATGCATATACAAAATTACCACCAGTTTCCACCTCCTCCTGTATCAAAAAGATGGTTTAAAAGTGTAGATCAAAGTTTATTTAGTTCTTGAATACTGTGAAAGTAAATACTCTGTATCAAACAGGGAAGAAGAAAAGAAAGAGTCAAAAACAATGTTATTATCATATTTACAATCAGATGCAATCTGAATTTAAAGAGTAATCGTGGATGAAATACCTCAATTGAAGGCAAAGAATTCTTAACCTCACTGAAAGAAATTGAACGATCAAAGTGCACAACAATCTGCGCATGCAAATTAGATTCAGGCTCAAAGGACTCCCTCAAGACCAATCCCGAACTGATTGGACACTGTCCATCCTTCAAAGAGGAGGCTGAGAGCCGATTCATCTCAAAGCCCTGACTGGTTTGAGGGCAAAGTACATCCCCATGACAACTTTTAGAATCAAATTGATCAGATATAAATTCTACAGCATTTTGATCATGGTTCCCTCTCTCAAGAGGGTTGAATGGAACACAGCTCTCATTCTCACCAGATGGAGAATTTTCACAAGAACGATTCTGGAGGATATCATGGATCAACCTCTGGATATAACTCCGCTTGCAAGAAGGCTCATCAGGATGAAACCAATCCATGCTAAGCTGCATCAAAAAACTATACTTCAAAGAGAATGATAATGCAGAATTATAATGCATTTTGAGCTCAAATATCTCGAGCAATGGCTCAAATTGCAGAGTTGTTTGCTTTTTAATGAGCCATAACATGTAATGTAGATAATGGACCTATACTTTGATATGGGCTCAAGGTATCAATGTATCATTATTGCATTTTTGGGTGCAAGTAGTTAATTATATTTTTGAAACAATTTCATACACACTAAAAAATAAAAAATAAAAATCAAAGCACAAAACAGAATGTGCACTTACAAAATTGCTATTCTTTGTTATACTGAATGGATTAATATCAGCAGGATCTTCCTCCAAGAAGCACTCCACATAGTGGAGTAAGAAGAGGCCACAATCACAATAATTTTGCTGCTGTGGTAACTATCATACAAAAAATGTCAGGAGTCAACACCACTATTATAGTACAAATGTTAATCAGAAGTGCAGTTTATACATGAAAAAGTAGCATACAAGTTACACAAAAATGCAAAACTAAACACAACATATTAAAATAATAATAATAATAATAATATATTCATTAAATTCATAGACTGTAACTGCCAACGTTTTATACCCTAGCAATACTGAATCTTAATATTTCATCCAGCATGTGCAAATCCTATACATCATCACAAAAGATCAATACAAAGGCTCCAACACAAGAATCTGGATCTTGTTAGGGATTTGATATTTTGTGGAGAGGTGATGAAACTTTAAATTAGTTGTAAGACTTATGGCATCCCTCCTTTCTGTGGGCTTGGGACAAATTAAATCGATAACAAGATAGGGAGATACATCGTCATTAAGGTCTCAAGCAAACATAATAGAGCTATTGCAAGGTGCGAAACTTGTAATCAGGACGTCTTTGGTGACACATTCAATAAAGATTTTATATGAATAAATGCCTACTGATGCTAGATACTACCTCAAGGGATGCAAATCTCAAATTTAGAAATTTTGCAGAGACATCTTCAGACAATTCCTTTTGCCTTTCTTTCCATTCTTCCCATAGATAACTGTCAACCAGAAACTAATTACCAAAATGTTCAAGGAAATTAACTGTTGATGTGCTAACTCAGATGAAAATAAAAGAAATATTTAAGCTTCATGTCAGGACAAAAATGCAACAAACCAACATATGATCAAATCATTCAATTTTTTAGACTTTGGGCAGGCATTTTGTGAAACATTGTAGCCAGTTAAAAAAGTTTATCAACTTTTCTTTCAGGTTTCTTTCATTCAGACACACTTGTTCAACACCCCCCACCCCTCTCTTAAGGTTTTGTCTTCTGCATTTTTTGAGCACGGAGACTTGGAGAGGCACTGGCATAGTCTCCAGCAAAGCGCAATTGTAGATTTATATTAAATTAAATTTAAACAATTAAAAAAAAAAAGTAGCTTCGTTATGAGGAGTTAGGAGACTTGATCTTATCCAAGTGCTTTCTCATTAAACGTAGACAGTTATAGCATTACAACTTTTTAAAACAAATTACATTTTGCCTGTATCCTGAGTGTGCACAAAAATACTATTTCACTTTTTTTAATAATAAGTTTAACATTTATAAAATACTACTAATCTATTCATGTCCACTATTTCTACAAGATAAATAACTTTTTCTGGCAAAAAAAAAAAAAAGTGATTAATTAGATACAGAGTAATCTTCTAGATTGCTCCGTACTATTTTACTTTTTTGATAAAAATCATTCGAATTTCTTAGATAAATTTAAAAATTCATATTTTACTTTCAAGAACGAAAATCATAAAATTTCTAACATTACACAAAAGTACTATTTTACTTGATAAAAACTACAACATGTATAAAATAATATACACTGGAATAAGCACAATATTTCCAAATGATAAATAACTTTTCCCAACCAAAAAGGGGTACCTTTGGAGTAGATCTTTCAGGCCAGTATGACTCCCTCGCAAGGAATCCATGTGCAATATGCAAGGTACTCTGGACAACTTCCCTAAAATATCATCTGCCACACATAAAAAGCATTTGTTGGAGGCATTCTTAACACCCTTCAGAGACAACAGCATATAGAAAGAACTTGCCTTCAAATTTTGCCACTTCACCAGGATGGCAAATTACTATTAGACTCCAATGTAAACTGTCAATGCAGAAGCAAGTTACTCAATGGCACACTCTAAAAGAACATTCCCCCAGTAAAAATAAAATAAATACTCAACTTCTTACTTGTAATTTACTGGGATGAACACAAAATCCTTTTCAAATAAGTTCACTTTCCTTGTCCATTTTCGGACACGCAGAAAAGCTGCCCGACCATCAAAGGCATTAGATGGATCTTTGTCCATGTCAGCCAACTTCCTAAAAAAGAAACTGTTGAAGAAATGGTATCTGTGCCTCCTCTCTGGTTGAATTTTGTTCTTTAAATACCTTCAGTAATTCAATATTCAATCATGCTCAAAGAGGATGAAACTGTATATCAATCAGATTAGAAGCCAAAATATACACAAAAAAGTTAATGAATGAACCTCATGTGATGTCATTTTCCCCAATTACAAATTCATGGATTGCTTTTTGCATATATTATGGTTATATTGTGTTCTTTTTCTTTCTAATTAATACTTATTTTCTAATCTACTACCAAGTCTCTTAAAAAGGAGAAGACTGGAACGTGTTATGTGCTCCCGTCATGGGCAAGAAAACATAGGGAAAAAGGAAGAAAGAATAATAGTTGGAAAAGGAAAAGAAGAAGACACTGGGTTTGCTTGAGACCCAAAACTCCCTTAGACCCTTTTTGGGATTAAATTTCTGCTTGTTATTATTCTGAATAATACTCCCTATTTATAGGGTAAAATACAACTCATAGAATGACTAAATAAGCTAAGTAATCTGTTGAAATCTTCTAAATAATTAAACTACCTAAATTAATTCGAAGACTAAGAATAATAAGGTAAATACCTATTTAGTAATTTCTAAATAACTATTTATTAGTTTCTAAATAACTATTTAGTAATTTATTAATATCTCAAATAAGACTTCCTCAAAGCATGTATCATTACACCCCTCCCGGACATCAAGCTTGCCCTCAAGCTTGATAACTTTGTGCATCACGTAGCCAACACTTCCCACGATCAAATGGCCTCACCAAAAGAAGTGCAAATGGAAAAGCCTTTAGTGGCATTCTACTGATCAATGGAGGAGCGAACAGTGGTGATGAAGAACCCAAACTTGGACATCCTTTGAAGGAGTTATTTGGAACAACAACATGGGATGATGAGGGAGACACCAAAGATGAAGACTGGCCAATACCATAGGACACAACCCTTAAATGAGATGGGGTTGGAGAGAGGTGAAATAACCCTCCCACGCATAGGACAGTTTTTGGAAAGGGCACAATCTCAATTTCAGCAGCCTTTTGTGTTGAAACCACATGAGGCTGATCGGCTGAAACAGTGGCTTGCATTGGCGCTATCTCCACATGTGGGTGATCAACAATGATTGTGAATGATGAATCATCCACGTTGAGTGATGTAACATCGCCATCTGTTTGCTGACTTCCTAAGGAAGTTGGCGTATCGATTTTTGGTGTTTGGTTGAGGAATTTTGTAATACATTGCTTCAGATCATTGGGAAATTCACCCAATTCCCCAAGGCGAAGTCTGCATAGCTCTTTTACTAAGAGTTTCAACTCATTCACTGATTCTTTGAGAGCTTCAAACTCAGACCGAGTGACGCCCATGACGCCGGCAACGGAACCAATGTTATGTGCTCCCGTCATGGGCAAGAGAACATAGGGAAAAAGGAAGAAAGAATAATAGTTGGAAAAGGAAAAGAAGAAGACACTGGGTTTGCTTGAGACCCAAAATTCCCTTAGACCCTTTTTGGGATTAAATTTCTGCTTGTTATTATTCTGAATAATACTCCCTTTTTATAGGGTAAAATACAACTCATAGAATGACTAAATAAGCTAAGTAATCTGTTGAAATCTTCTAAATAATTAAACTACCTAAATTAATTCGAAGACTAAGAATAATAAGGTAAATAACTATTTAGTAATTTCTAAATAACTATTTATTAGTTTCTAAATAACTATTTAGTAATTTATTAATATCTCAAATAAGACTTCCTCAAAGCATGTATCATAACGTCAAATCCTATGTCCCATGTATCCAATCTACATTATAGCTGTACCAACAATTCAACAAATGAATTCCAGCAGCATTGTCATCTACTTGATAAAAGGTACGCCACAAAAGTGATTCACATAATTAATGGCCAAGTAAATGTCACTTGACAGTCAAACAGAAAAAAGTGATTCGCAAAGAAACTCACTTAACGTAAAAGTCAATTATTGTGTCATTTACAAACGTATCTGGTTGGAGAAGATCGAAGTCCCTCTTACTGATGGAAACAGCATCAGAATCTCCTTTAGGATAAATAACCTCTTCAAATGACTCGTCACAACTGCAAATTAATAAAACAATGCTCATGATTCCCTGAGACTATAAATTCCAGAAATCACAAAGAAAGTCATAACTGCCGTGCAAAAAAAAAAAAAAAAACAGGTGTTGAAATTGAGCATCTAAGTAAAACTTTAAATTCAAAGAAAAAAAAAAAAAAAAAAAAGTAGGGAAGTCTGAAACCACCTCTTGAGACATCAAAAATTCAGAAATTCAAGAAAAATGACCTCATATAAACCAAGAAGAAAAAAAAAATCAAACAACACAACAATGGCCACATGACCAACAACAAAAAGATCTAAAAAGTCTCTTAGACTAACCTGGGAAAGTATCTTTTAGATGATGGTTTGGATACATCTCTTTGCACACCCATCCAATGATCATCAGCCTCGGAACTACAAGGTCAAATATAAAAATCCATCAGCCATATACATACACATACAGACATATACACACATGATATGAAGTTGCGCACATTGCCACATTTATTTCAAGACAGCAATAGCTCTGCATAAGAAATCACTAACTGTTAAGAATTTGAAATTTAATATGGATATTAATTTTAGTATACATATTTTCCCTGATACTACACTTGATAAGTTGATATACATGCTCAAGAAGGGAACAAAAAACCTTGCATCAAATTTATAAAAGTAATAGCAGCTATGGAATTTTTAATTACATTTCAAAATATTCAGCCTTTTATTATCAGATAAAGTAAGGGATATAAAATTTAAAAAACAAAACAAAAAAAAAAAAAAAACATGCTTGTAATGCATTTATAAACAATTAAAGACAAGAAGGTGATCTAAACACTCACTGGGAATCCCAAACAGCCTTATATCCATCCACAGACGTTATCGCTTCACACTTCTCACGAAAACCAGAATCATGAACAGAGAACTGCAACTCCTCTATTCCTGGATTAAAGAAGTTATAGAAGAATTGGGTGAACTTGAAATTTCAAAAAGAAAAAATATATTGGAACCACCTAAAATAGTAGCAATATAAACAGCAAAAAGTAAAAGAAAACTAAATATTTCCAGGGAAGATAACAGAAATCAAAGCACCTGTCCAAAAGTTTTGAAGTCAAACAGAATAGTTTTTCTTAACTCTATATTGTAAGGTTGACTATAGGAACTATTTCAAAATTTATTTCAGTGGTTAAGATCCTTTTTTTTTAATAAATTCATTCAAGGTCATAAACAAAATAAAAAGGCCATATAATCCAAGAAGCATGTCCTATTGATCAGGGTGACTTGACTACTTTGTGACAAGAAGATTGTGCTTGAACATTATGGGGGGAGAAAAAGAAGCAGACGGCACAAGGGATTGAGTAGAAATAATAACTGGCTACTGATGTAAGCATGGTTTTATGGGAATCACTTCAGGGCACTTCAAAAGAAATTGTGGGCAAACTCATATGCATTGCGTCAAAATCTCACTGCACCAATCTCTCAATTTAAAATTGAAATTTTTGAGTTTTCTTTGGACTAGGCTGTTGATAGGACAATGGAGACAAACAATAAGAGGAATTTAAAGATGGTCATCAATCCTAAAGTTATAAATTTTATTTTACATGGACTCCTTTGAATTAGCTTTGGAATAGTTATTCTTAACATACAGCATAAAGGAGAAAGTGAAGCCGTGTTTACATATTACCAAAAGCCACAAAAGGGCAATATGTTCTCCTTGTTGAAATTGAGGGATTGATAGGTCTGGCGGGTGAAGAATAACAACCACCCGCCAGTTAGGCGGAAGCAAAGTATGTGAGAACCAAAGAACAAGAGAATAAAGAATATAATGAAAGATTACAAAAGATTGTCTCTCTGTATCTATGTTCTATAATTCAATGGACCTCTATATATACTAAACTAGATACTAAATTAGTCTAGGAAACTACTAATAAGAATAGGAAAGTAAGACAACTTTCCTAATATCAACACTCCTATTTAGAAGTGCCAAGACGAAACTTTTATGAAATGGTCAATCAAGAATGATAAATACATCAAGAGTCCAAAACAAGACTAAAGCAACCCAAACAACCACAAGTTCACATAAGCATGCCACACCTGAAGTTTCATGTATGGTTTCAGATTGTTCTGGACATCTTGAAATAACATGAATCTTAAACTGGCCTGCATCAGCCTAACACAAAAATCCAAATGTTTAGTATCTCAATACAGCATATATTAGCATCATAAGAAATTACTTTGAGATGTCATGCCACAAAACTCACTCTCACACTATACTCTAGTTGAATCTGTTTGATATCTTCAACTGTGAATTGAATACTAAAAGCCCCCGTGTTTCCAGATACAACTGAACCTTTAACTTCAAGGTAACTATTAGAAAAGTTCACCACACAATCTGTATAGTATGTTTCCCTATAATAGATGAAATCAGGATGGAACACAATTGCCATGTTTTCACCCTGCCAGAAAAAGGTAAAAAATGTCAGACATTAAACCAAGAAGAAGACAAAGGAAAATAGTGAAAGTAAACAAGGTTTTGTTACTGCATGTTGGAAACTTGAACTTCTTAGATCAGGAAATATGCAACCATCAAAAACATTATTTAAAAAAAAAAAAAAAAAAAAAAAAAAAAAAAAAAAAACTAATCAGGTTTGAACCTCTTAACCCAAATGGAAAGTCCTATATACATTGATAAAGGCAGTTCTTATTACCATTTCCCAGTGACCCTGGCAATTTTCTGATGATGGACTATCCTCACAGAGATCTGTAAGAGGAACATGCAGCATTAACTAACTACCTCATTGAAACAACCGAAAAGTAAAGAATTATATAATTAACACATACACACACATATATATTGACTGATAACAAAAAACCTAAAAATAGTACAAACAAACCATGGTTAGCTGGCCTAGCAGATGGGGTTGGACTATTCACATTCAAGCTCTCATCTGTGTCTGAAACTGCATCAACTGAGTCATCCTGCATAATTCCACCTCCAGATTACGCAAACAAATCAATGAAAATAAGATAAAATTAAAATAATGGTTCATGTACGTTGGATTGAGATTCTCTGAAGGCATGTTGGTTGTCTTCAGGAGAAGCTGTTCCAGGGCTAGAACTGCTTTCCAGGCTGGGATTAAATCTTCCAGACAATACATTAGGTCTTACATGATGAAATAGTTCTTGATTTGTTGAATTCATTTGCTTGGCATCATCCAACCTAGACATCCCTTCAATATTGAAATATTCTGCAACCAGAGTAGAGATACTACATCAGGGCTTACATCATGAGATAATTCTTGATTTATTGAATTAATTTGCTGCCCATTATCCAAACCAGACAATCTTTCAATGTTGAAATATAATGCATGCAGAATATAGTGAACACCTTTCCCGTTGCAATTAAGCTTGGTTGCAACAACACATGCATAGTATATAGTCAATCTCCATTGACTTCATGTAAGTTACTCCAACAAGTTGAGACCAGTGTGCTATAGATTAATACTTATATATAATTTTCTCATATGCAGAAGTATCATTTGAAGAAGAAAAAAGAACAACCAGGTGTGTTGTAAATTAATACTTAAATATATTTTTCTCATATGCAGAAGCATAATTTGAAGAAGAAGAAAAAGAACAGGCAGGTGTACAGATAGATTACAACAGCATCACAATTCTAGATAGCAAAAAGGTCCATAAAGCCATCTATTGGTTTCTCTTTATGCCAAGGGAATACAGATTCAAAAAGCATGTACCTAACAGATGCACCAGAGTCTTGTGCCCTTTAATATATGTTATTCCTTTCTAGCCACATGGATTAGGCAAAGGGGAGTTGTTTCCCAATTTTTCTGAAATTAAGTTTTCACTATGCAGCTCTCTAAATCAGAAGGATTTGTTTTCCTTTTATAATTTGATCTTATACTAATGTTGCCAATGTTTTAGCACCCTGGGTGTTCCTATGCACTCTTGCATACCCAGCACATTAAGCAGGACAATCAGAAAACAATTTGCTTTAAAGTTCAAATTCTATTATACTATGTTGCCAAGTTTTAGCACCCTAGGTGTTCCTCTGCACTCTTGCATATCCAACACATCAAGTATAACAGTCAGAAAACAATTCATTTCAAAGTTCAAATAATAACAATAATAATAATTATTATTATTAATATTACGGATTACGGATATTATTGTTGTCAGCAACTCGGCATAATGTGTTTGTCGCAAAATAGCACAAATACACAAACACATATAAACCCTTACCATTTTCTAAGACTCTGTGAATGTTGAGAGCTTCGGATGCTACGGATTCTGAGCAAACACGAGTGACAACCATATTCGGGAGCTCCTCTTCTTTGAAACCGAACGCATCGAAAGACTTGGCAGAATTTTCCATTCAAACCCCGCAGGAGAACACTTTTGCGGAGATCGAAAGCGAGTAAGGTTTGGACGATGTTGAATACGATCTCAATTTTGACGAATCAGTAGATCAAATTCTAGGGTTGCAGCACGTATATTGTCCCATGCTCTCTTTAATAAAGGGCGGGTTAAATGAGCAGAGAGGATTGATTGATCGATCGAGCGCGTGGAGTTTCC